AATTATATAATTGCCTTTCTTTAATTTGAATCTCTTTAATTTAAACCTTATTAAAATATTTGTAAATTTTTTTTTTTTTTTTAATAATTCGGCAGTCATACCTTAACTTTATTAGGCTTTGTACAACTCATCTAGAATATATAAAATTTTACAATCAGGTATTTCAAAAAGTAAGTGATAAACTCTTAACTTGTTTGCAGATAGTGTATGAGAACTATCTCTAAATGACAAGCACTATAGCCCAAATTGTTACTTAAATTACAAGTTATAACTAACCTGATTACCAACTTGGTACCTACTATAGTAGAATTCTCCTCCTTTTAGACCCTTTCTGCAATTGAATATGACCTGGATCTCAACAGATGGTACCTACTGCCTATTATGACTACCTCTCCCTTTTTTCAAACCTCTTCTACCTAAGCCCAACAATATAATTAAACCCTTATTTATATATAAAAGTAAAAAAAATAAAGCTATGTTTATAAAAAACATAAACATTTTTAAAAAAAAACCACCTTACAGTGGGAAAAAAACTTTTCAACAAATTTTAAAATAGTCTAACATAAATGAACAAAAATGAAAAAAGCGAAAAAAAAGAAAGGTAGCCATGACACACTATTATAGTCCATGCTAGGTATAAAGATAAAAATTATATAATAATTGCAACTAATTACTAAATCTCGATTGTAAACTAATAGTTTAGCTTTGAGACTCGTTCTGGACACCGACTCGACTCGGGTATTTCCTAAACGGGGTGACGATCTCTTTTCTGTACTGTAGCAATGTATTTGCAAAATAACAAAACATGTAGTTGCCTTCTACTGAGTTCATCCCAATTTGGTAGATGTAAACAATGCCGATCTTTTGGAGGAGTAAGCCAAAATACCCACTTTTTATCAAAAAATTTTGGTAAGACCGGCACAAAACGACAAAGAGAAAAGGACCTTTTGATACTACTTAAAGAAAAGTAAGTTACTAGAAACAACAGAAATAGTCTTCTTTCCAGCCAGAACTATGCTACTCATATTTTGTTAATGACTGATAAACTCTAAACTTGTCGACAGATAGCATATAAGAACTATTTCTAAATGACAAGCACCGCGTTTGCAGTGAGTGATAAACTCTAAACCTGTTGGCAAGTAGTATATGAGAACTATCTCTAAATGACAGGTGCTAACTTACAGTCTCTCTTTTCACATCTTATGTAGTTTGGCTAGTTGGTTTTTACTGTTTTTGTTAAAAAGTTTTTTCAGCAAAATTTGGTTCAAGTGATCATTAAAAAGAGTTGTGTATATATAGAGTGTTTGTAAATTTTATTATAAGTTTAGATTAGTATACAGTTAAATCTCTCTATAGTCATCTCCTATATAAGCTCATTTTCTTTATAAGCTTATTTTTTAAAAAACTATCTATTATTAAATATAATAAATTTAACCTCTATAATTAGCACACTTCTCTATAATCATGCTTTTTTGTATCTCATAGGTGTGACTATAGAAAGGTTTGACTGTATTTTTTTTGTTAATTTAATAGTCTTGCTAATACTTTAATTTTTTTTTTAGCTCTTTAATAGTTTTGCTAGAGCTCAAATATAAATTTTATTTATTTAATTAGTAAGGAAGCTAACAATTATTAGATGATTTTCTAAGAAGGGTTAAAATTTTGAAATTTTATATATAAAACCTGATAAATTATATATTAAAAACTAAAGAGAGTAAGCCTCTGATAAAAAAAAATCAGATGATAAATGATACTGCTCTAATCTATGAAGTCCATATTTGCTGATCAACAGAATACCCCAAAATTGATCCAATAGTAAATCATATATAATCTAACACAAAATGTAATACAAAAATTAACAAATGAATACAAAGACTATAAAAATTAACAAGCACGTAGTTTAGGCTTAAAAGAACCTATATGCAAAATAATCAGAAAAATAGTAAAATAATCAGACCACTAATCTTAACAGAGTTATGAATAAGTGTCTTTACTTTGAAATATAGAATTTCAACCAACAGAACCAATGACAAATCACTAGTACTATTAGTGTTATATAAAAATTCAAAATCTACTAGCTTATTAAAAACAATATTACAATACTTTAAACAAGCCAAATTATTTAGATAAAAAAAAATTTTGTTAAGGGAGCTAACAGAAAAGAGCTCATTATAGAGTCCCCCTCCTCCCTCCTCTCTCCCCCTCTCTAGAACAATTACAAGTTTTAAAGTAATCAATTAACCTTTTGTATATTTTTATGCACCCTTTGTATAATTATGCAGGTTTATGCATAATATGTATATTTATGCATAAACCTGCATAATTATGCAAGAGGTATATAAAAATATACAAGGGTTAATTGATTACTTTAGAACTTGTAATTGTTCTAGAGAGGGGGAGAGAGGAGGGAGGAGAGGGACTCTATAATGAGCTCTTTTCTGTCAGCTCCCTAACTGTATATTTTTAATATATAAAAGTTGACTATTATTTATATAATATTGATTATGCAGCGATTAATATCGACGTTATCATGTGATTATGATTATAATTTACAAGTTATTGTTGGCTAACTGAGTTTAATTCGAGATTGTTGTGTTTATGTTTTACTTATAACTAACTAAATTCATTGCTTATTTTTATATTTGTACTATATTTAGATTATTAAATCAAGCAAAAGAAAGTTATCATATTGGGAGCATTCTATTTATTATTGGCTTGCTAAATAATTTAGTGTATGTTATAGTAATGTACAATATTTATGATCATAAGAGGTTGCACGAGTTGATTAGATAAGCATAAAGCATTTATATCTTATCTAAAGAAAGAATCTATCTCAAACTTGAGCTTTAGTTTGGCAAACTTAAAAGCTAGTCTGTACAATTTTTATATTAATGTCTTATTGAAAATTTATTAATAATTTTTAAATAGATTTATTTTTAAAAAGTCAGAAATTGTGTGAAGAAGAAAGCATCAAAGCATCCAACATGCTAAACAAGATAAGGTACTTTATACTATTAGTGTGTGCCTAATCTTATTTAATAAATAATTTCTCATTCTATATTAGATAGACACAATTAATCGCCTTTTAAAAAACAAGCATCTAAAAAACGATCAAAGGATCAGGATGAAACTAACAGTATTAACAAAAATGATAATAGTATGAATCTACAAACACTGGTTGCATTTCATTATATTACCAACAAGAATGGTTGTATATTATCAGTTCTACATGATGTTGAGATGCCAATTTAATTTTTAAACATACTTGTATAAATTAAATAATTTCTATATAATACTGGGCTTAGATCTGTCATATTGGCTTTACTATTTTTTTGGTAAATTTATTATATTCAATATAATTAATATGCTTATCAAAAATAGTGTTTTCAAGCTATTTTTCTGGTATATTTGCTATAGTTTTTGCATATACTAATATTTGTCAAAAACAAAGTTCTATTTATCAACGAAATACTGAAATAGTTTTTTTTTTTTACATACGGACTACATTCCACGGCTAAAAGTAATTCAACATTACTAAAATATTAAGTGATTCTTTGTATTAGCCCAATAGGTTGTAAATAATTTTATAGTTATTAAGTGTATATTGTTTGCTTGGTTTTAATACTTTATTTAAATATGTAGATAAATCTTCGTTTTGACTACTAGACATAGTATGGTAGATATAGCATGATAATTAGAACAAGACTTAACATGTAGTTAGAATTAATATTAGCATAGTAGTTAGAACTAATATAGTATAGCAATTTGAACCAAATAAAGTAACTCCTAAAAATATCTTATGCAAGATGAATATTCATCATATAATTAATTTACATGAGAATAATATTGGCATTTTATGTATTAATATATCTCTAGTAACTTTTAATTAATATATACATTCTTACTATTTTTATTATTAATCTAATATTTTAGTTGAATCTGTAAATACAGTATTTATTAAACGTGGGTACCTCTAGGTATTTACATATCTCGATTTTTGTACTCGGGTACTTCTACACTATATTGTTACTATATATACTATACTTATATACTTGGGTATAAATCCTCTTTAAAACTGGTTGCCTTTTTATATTTGCAATGATTCATATTATCTATCTAAAACACTAACTGTATTTGTAAAGCTTCTCAAATACTTAGAACTTTTAAAAGAATATCTAATATTATCCAATTCGAATTAGGCCTTAAAAAAAGATTTTAGTTCATGTATCAGATATAATTAAAGTCATCATCTGGAAGACTAGTCACTGAAATTAAATTAACTTGAAGCTCAATTAAGAATAGTAATAATTGGTTTTGCTACAACTGGCTTGAAAAAACTTTATCTTGTATAAGTTGATTAATTCTTTAACTCAGAAATCTATAAAACATATTAGTTTTTTTAAATTAAAGTTTGAGTTTAAATTACATACCATATCCTATAGTTTTATTAAAGCAGCTTGATGTAAATTACAAAGTATGTCTTTTTTCTTTTCAAGACATATGGTTGTCAATATTTCAAGATTTTGTAAAGCTAAATATTTTTTAATTCAATAATCTTTAGCAGATCCAATAGTTGTATTTAATAGATCTTGAGGAACTTTAATACAGTAATCGTAATCTTGTAAATAAAATAAATATTTTATAACATCAATTAGCAGATTTGCTATTGAGAAGTTTAAAAGCTTCTTAAAAATTTATAGTACAGAATGATTTGACAAATAAGAATTCTATTTCTTTTTAATTTTAAATTCACTATTAAAGTGGAATTTGAATTCTCTAACCAATTGAGTTAGTTTAGCGTTTTGTTTTAGCATAAGTTGAACTAACACAATACAAAAATTGTACGTATATATACATATAGTACGTGTTTTATAATATTAAAAACAGCTAATTAAAATAATTATTTAATAAATAAAGTTCGTATTCGTGTTAAAATTGATAAAAAATCAGGTTATTTTTTGAATAGCTACTTTTAAACATACTGGTACTTACTTCAATATATGGAAGTTCAACAAACAGATCCAAAATCAACTACTCACCAATGTTATTTTGATGTATTTTTTAAAAAAGAGCCGTTATGCAAAGGAGTTTTAAGAGCAATTAGTTTTTTAACTCAAATTTCAGAAGAGAAATGTCAAGAGTTAGATGGAAAATATCTCTGTCAGACACATTATAACTATGAAGTTGTTAATAAAGCTCACTATCAAGCATAGCAAAAAAAATTAAATGAATGTTGCGCTTATCCAAAACATGATATATATAAGCAAAATACAAAAAAAAAAATAAAAAATGTAAAGATGCACTTATAAATTTATCTGCTTGACTTTGCAATGTATTAGAACTTAATTCAACTGCCAAAATATGTTATAGATGCATAAAGTTTATAGATGGCAATTCAGATTATATTACAAATAGTGATTATACTCAGGCAATTAAATGATCATCTCCAACTAAAAATATTATACAAGAAGCAATTTAATGTATCAAATCTTTTCAAAATTTAAGTAAATCAATGCAATATAAACGAAGTAAAAAAATAGCAATATCTATTCCAAAATCAGTTTATAATAAAGTTCAATTAATTTTTCATCTAGATGATAAAATAGTATTAAATGAAGTAATATTTTCAGCAAATAATCAACAATTTCAAATTGTTTATAACTAGCAAGATAATAATAACAATTTAAAAAAATTAGCTATTGTATGTACAATGGACAAAGAACATATTTCTCATAATATGTATCAAGTTATTACAGGAATCAAGCAGAACCTACCAAAAGAATAGGCAGTTTCTAAAATGAAGCAATGGATTGATGATCAAATGAAACAAGTAATACCACTTCACAGTATAAATTTAGATACTTCACAAAAAATTGATTCTGAAACAAATAAAAATATAGATATTGAAGATTTTGAAATAATTAACGAAGTTACAGTATTAATGAGAAAAGCAATATATAGATCATTAAAAAATATTTTATCATATATTATATCTTTTTTGATTCAAAAAGGAATTCTTCAGTTATCAAATCCAACTTTGCATATCTGAATCTCAGGAGATGGTCATAATATTGGAAAAAAAATAAAACATATAATGGTCATATTTGCACTACTTAATGATTTGAAAACTATTTATTATTCAGAAAAGTATTATACTCTTTTAATATATCCTGGCACTGAAAATATGAAACTTTAGTGATTGTATTAGCACTATTAATTCAAGAATTAAATAAGATTCAATCTGGTTATCAGGATAATGAAGGACATCTATAGAATATACAGTTATATTTTTCAGCTGATTGGAAATTCTTAATGACTTGTTTAGGACATAAAGCAGCAAATGCAGAAGATTTTTGCCCTTGGTGCCCCGTTAAAAAAAAGCAAAATGAGATTAATATATATGATTGAACTATATTCAAAAATATAAAAGATCTTAATAGCAATTATTTTAAAATACCTGTTTATAAAAATAAGCTTTTATTTTCTATGATTCCTTTAACTAATTGGGTTGTTGATAAGCTTCATGTAATGCTGCGAATCACAGATCGATTATAGTTACTATTAAAGTTAGAAATTGGTACCAAAACTAATTCTAAAGTATATACTATAATTAGTCAAGAAATGTTACAAATTCATATTCATTTTAACTAGTCAGAAGATCCAAATAGGGATGTTACGGTCTGTTCCGGTCCGGTCTTGGTCCCAAAGACCGGTCCTATCAGAGGACCGCGGACTGGACCGTTGTCTAGGACTGGTTCATAAACCAGTCCATAAATCAGTCTATTGGCTGGTTTTCAAAAATAAGCTGTAGTTTTAATGATCGCCACATATAAAAAGACCTTACAGCTATCATCATAAATCCTGGGGCAATTGAAAAATTGCCAATGCCTAGTGATGCAGTAGATGATTTGTCGTAACTAGTTGCGACATAGGTTTTAGTTAGTTACGGCTTGAGCCTTAGTAACGTAATTGGAACGATTCTACTGCATCACTACAATGACTGAATCGACAAGTTACCGATCAAAAATCGATAAGTTACTGAATTAGGCTGACATTGGAAACTTATAGATACGGTCATCGATATATATATATATATATTTAGCCAATAAGGCAATTCCATAGGCTTTGAACTGGTCCAGACCGGTCCTTAATTTAGGACCGAAAACTGGTTGGACTGGTCCAAAAGACCGGTCCGGACCATGGTCCTTGTAGAACCGTAACATCCCTAGATCCAAACACAAAAGCATGGACTTCAGGATCCTTAACAGGAGTAGACAAGCTAAAAGTATTAAGAAATTTTAATTTAGATTTGTTATTTTTAAACAAAACTCGTGCTCAGTAATTCGAAATTTATGGAATGACTTTAATGAACTTTATGAAGATATGCATAAGCAACGTATAAGTGGGACAAAATTTAAAAAAAAGCATTAAACTGGATGAATTTATTTTTAACTCCATCCTTAGGTAATTTTTAAAAACTTTAACAATTTTTTTTAAATATATTTTAAATTTATTACACAAAACTTATTTTATTATTAGGTAATTTTAATTCACTACAAACTTTTATTAAGAGGCTTTATTGGCCAAATAATATTACTCCCTATATTTACACTTTGGTTTATCATATTCCAAAGTTTTTTAATATTCATTCTAATTTTGGCATACATAGTTTTTCTTGTTCTGCCATGGAAAAAAAAAATTATCAGCATGTTATACATTTTTTTCAAAAAACTTTAAAAAATGGTGAGAAAGAAAATATAAACAAATTAGCCATTATCAAAATTATAGAGTGGAAAAATAGAAATATATATTTCTTGACACATAATATACCTGTTTTTTTTGAAAAAATTACAACTATTAATGTTAAAAACTCAATAATATAGATAGATCTTTAACTTTAATAAATTGTATATGATACTATAGAACTCTAATAGTATAGTATCTTTTTAAAGTAAAATTATCTTTCGAACTATTTTATTTATGTAATTTGGTAAGTATAAAGATCAGTTATTAATCCAACTTACAATTGGTATAAATTTTGAGCATGTTTTTTAATGGGTTATTGAATAATCAGATTGGCTTAAAAAAACTAATCGTAATTATTATTTGAGTTAAAAAGACTTGAAGAAGGTTTAGTTAAAATTTAAAATTTGTATCTTGTATTATAAATTTGTAGTGAAATTAACATAATTACTGTGAAAAATTATTTATTGATCTATTCAAGTTAAGAGTTTTTACTTCCTGACCTATTCTATTCAAGTTCATAAGTATTTATTTCCAGCAGAGGTCTTTTTCAATTTTTAACAGCTGCCTAGTGCATTGGGGTGCGTCAAGTATAATCCATGTTTGCATCAAGAGAGCATTTTCCTGCGTTGCGATACAAAAGTAAAATTTTCTATTAGATTATATAATAAAAAATTTTGCTTTTGTATTCGCAACGCAGAAAGATACTCTTCTAATGCAAACCTGGGTTATACTTAATGCACCCCCAATATACTAGGCAGCTGTTAAAAATCGAAAAAACCTCTGCTTTTATTTCCTAATTTATTTAAAATACCACCAATTTCAATGTTGCAAGTATTTATTTACCCTCATAATTCATTTTATTTATATTAAGATAATAATTTTGTAAATGTGTTTATTAATTTACTTAAATCAGTAATATATATTCACTATTGAATATTTTTTTCAAATTGTTATTTATTTTTATTAATTTATTATTTAAATTTATACATCTTCATAATTTGTAGTAAACTTAAACTTTGTCAATTTAATATAATTTGAACTTAACCTATTATATCAAGACTTTACTTAATTTTTGTTATATTGAGAGTCCATTATATTAAGAGTTATTGTGTATATAATAGTAGATTAGCTACCAATTCTCTTTATCTTTTTCAGCTTCTTTTTTTTCGTAATTTTTGCACTATTATCATTATTTTTAGTATTATCTATAAGACTTAAAACTTTTTCCATATTATAAGGATGCAACATATCTTCTGGTATTAATTCAGGTAATTTATCACGATATTTAATCTATAGCATTTCGGCAATGAGAAACTTTTTTCCATCAATATTAGCTTTTGACAACCACTCTAAAAAATTATGATATTTTTGTTGTAATTCAATTTCTGTTAATTATTCTTTGTTATCTGAAGTTGTAGCTAATTTGGATTTTTTCATATAAGTATTAGATAAAATACTTCTCCAATTTTCATTATTTGATGCTGATGAGAAACTATTTCTTATCGGACAATTATCAAGTAAAATACTTTTCCAACTTTTCTTTAGTGCTTTTGCAGCTTCGCTGAGGATTACACTAGAATTTAAAATTACATGCTTTACAGGATCATATTTTAAATCTTTTACTGGATCTGAAGGTCGAATTTTTAATATTACTTCTAACCATGGTAAATGATTTATTATGAAATGTAAAGATCAATAAAAAGCTGTATTATCTATCATTATTGGAGAATTTTGAGTTTGTTAACCAAATAGATCAAAGGTTATTTTATATAATTCAGAAGAATGGCTAGAGAATGATGATGTTGGTGAAGGAACTGGTATTCGAGTAATTCGATTATGAGATTTAAATATATACCAATATCATTAGGTTTATTCATAGCACCAAGAACCTAAATAAACGTCACAAAAGTTAGTTATTGGTGGAATAGAGAGTATGTTTAAAATAATAATAATAAACTACTCACAACTATGCATGAGTTTTTATTTGTTATAAAGCCATCTCATAGACTATCAGAATTAAATGAATCATATTAAATTAATTAAGTTAAAATATTCTTATATTTAATTAGGCATCAGCAAAAATAAATAGGCGTAAACCTCCGCAAGTTTTTACGCGAGCATAAACTTACAAAAATTTACGATTAGTTCGGAGTATTACATAGGTGTAATAATTACGAAAGTTTACGCTATAGTAACTCTGGAATATTACGTAAGTGTAATAATTAC